GTTGTTTATAAACAACATATGGGAGCAGCTCATGACAAAACCAATCAAGGTCGGTGTTTTCAGGTAGGAAACCTAGTCTGGCTCCAAACGGCCCTCAAGCATGTCAGAAAATTGGAGCCAAACTGGGAGGGGTCGTACTCGATCGCAAGAGTATTTGCAGGAGGTGTGTATGAGCTGCGTGATAAAGAAGGGCGACTGGTGCCAAAGCCGTGGAACGTAGTGCACTTGAAAACGTTTCATGCATAATTTTATTGTAGATTAATATTTGTTCACTTCTTTTACATATGATAAGTATATGTTATTCACAAATAAAGACTTTCATGTTATTTGTTGCTATATACCCTTGCGCTAAGTGTATGTTGGAAAGCCTGTCGCGATATCGCTCTAGTTCGCGGAGCTCGACAATGATCAGATTAGGGCAAAAGCCTATCGCGATATCACTGGAGCTCGTGGAGCTCACCGGTGATCGGATTAGGGCAAACACGTGTCGCCATATCGTTCGAGCTCATGAAGCTTAGCGATCATCGGATTAGGGCAAAACCTGTTGCGATATCGTTCGAGCTCGCAGAGCTAGGCGATGATAAGGCAAAAACCTGTCGCGATATTGTTCGTGCTCTTGGAGCTCGGCAATGATCCGATTGGGGCAAAAGCCTATCACGAAATTGAAATATAATATTTTAAAAAATAATAAATAAAAGTACATAATTATATAAGACAAATATAAATTTTGTTATAGAAGTATAATGGGTCTAACTACCTATTAACTACACCATGTGAAAGAAAAATTGCGTTCTAGTGACAATGGTTATTTTATTTAACATTGGTAAGAAAAATTTCGTTTTAGTGGTAATGGTTATTTTATTAAAACATTGACTTAACTTTTGAGTTTTGTCTATGTAAAGTTTCTTTTACTCAAATCTTTTGAAATTTTTAATCAGCGTGTAAAAAAGCTTAAATATCACTAATGACCACTAGATCGGGATCTTTCTAATACTCAAATCTTTTGAAATTTTTAATCGGCGTGTAAAAAGATCTTTCTTTCTTTCTTTTTTTTTTTGAATATGTAAAGGGATCTTTCTAATACTCAAATCTTTTGAAATTTTTAATCGGCGTGTAAAAAAGCTCAAATGTCACTAATAACCCTTGGACCGGTATCTTTCTAATATTTACATTTTGAAATTTGACATTAGTCAATGTGAAACATAGGAGTGTATTCAATTTATAATTTTAGACACTTTAGGAGTGTATTCAATTTATAATTTTAGACGCTTTTTAATACTTTCATAATTCGAGTGTATTCAATTAGATCTCTTAGATACTTATGAAAAGTTCACATGTATTCAATGGGAGTTTTAAATACTTTTTATAAGTTTCTAAAAAAGTCTCAATGTATTCAATTATAATTTTATGAAAGTCTCTGTAAGTCACACCATGTGGTCGTGGGTTCAAGTCCCACAGACGGCGCCAAACGGTAACGTCAAACACTCTGACTGGCTAGAAATCGACTTACCTTCTTCCTTCTTGACGGTAGAACGCCGCGTACCTGAAGAAGAAAAAAAAAGCCACACCGGAGATGCTTAAGTCAGTGGTTGTTTTAAACATTACTTAAGAGTAAAAACGGATAAAATCATGTTCAACAAGAAAAGTTTACCCCTATATATAGAGGTGAGATACCTGACCTGGGAGCTGCCCGGATTTGATGAGTTGTTTTCCTAAAGTTGCCTAGGCATGCCCGTCCGTACATGCATAGTGCACGTGTGTCAGAAGCGGTTATCACAATAGACCATTACATTCGCGCCATGTGTCCTCTACACATGGGGTAAATATTCCCTTGTATTTTCCTCTGAAATCCCCTTGAAGGCTCTTACACTCAGTTACATCTAGGTCGATCCTCGAATGCTCTGAGTCTGTGAAGTGGCCGATCAAATGATCTTTTGCTCGACAGGTCGATCTTCGACCAGATCCTCCGTGGCCTGAGACCAAGATATACCCCTCATGTTGGAGTCCTCCATATCCTGTTCTCGTAGCGTTCGACCCTAACCGCTCTGTTCGATACTATTTGACTAGTGTGGTCTTCTCCATATCGAATCTGTTCGGCCGATCTAGTGAACCGTTTTACTTCTTTAGGTATAATATCTCATATCACCTTGTATTCAAAGTACGAACACTTTAAGAGACTTTTTAAATAATAAGTCTTTTTTAACAAAATTACAAAACACTCATAACAGATATCCTAATAAATTGGTCAGATTTGTTGGACTTATATGACTCTTCGAACTCTCTTTTATCTATATTGTTAATGTGTGTGTGTGTGAGAGAGAGAGAGAGAGAGATAGATAGGGGTAGACGACATATAGAATAGAAGAGGGAGGGATCGTTGGGGGTGAGTCTTATTGGTGGGCCCCACTTATTTTTTGTGAAATTACACCACTGCCCTTACAGTTATTGTTTTGTCCATGAAGTAGCACTATATTACATTATTGCCACTACATGTTTGACCTTGAAACTCAATTTTGACTTCATCATGTTCATTGATATAGTTGATCCCATGGTTTATACTCATTCTTATTTCTTTCACTATCAATCATTCTCATATGATCCCTTATATATATATATATACATATATATATATATATTAGAGCTTGTTAGTATTCTATTTAAATACTTATATTCTCTTGTATTTGAGTTGGTTGATTTTGATCATTAAAGATATTTAAGTCTTTGTATTGTTTTATCCCTTTGCTTTTGCTAGTCTTTGTATTTTGAGTTGGTTGTTTTAGACCTATCTATTAATTACACCATGTGAATGGAAATATGCATTGTAGAATGGAGGGCTATCACAGAGAAAGATGTGGAAGTACACCTGGAGTATCCAAGTGAAACCTAAACTCAGAGTTTTCATATGGAGATGCATTTATCACTCTCTTCCGGTGGCTGCCAAACTTTGCCAAAGCGGAATAATTGGGGATCCAATGTGTCAGCTGTGTGGTGAAGAAGTGGAACCTCTTATACATGTGCTTTTTTAATGTTCAAGAGCAAGGAAGGTATAGAAAATTGCTCCAGTTCAATGGGATCATTTCAGAGGTTGGTGGTCTGATTTGTGTAATGCAAAAAGAGGGGAATGTTGGGAGGACAGAACAGAGCTTACAGTGTACATTTTGGGATGGTTGTGGAAAACGAGAAACATTTGGATTTTTGAAAAGAAATCGATCTCGGAGAGGGATCTTGTCAATAAAGCAAGAGAGGAATGGCTTGAATTTAAATCTGTCAGCTACGGGGAGGTTGATGGTCCTTCAATCTCTTCACCTAGCCTGGTACAAGCAGAGAAAATTAGTTTATTTGTTAGTACTTGTGTGATTCCATGAGTTGGCTGTGGATTAGGGTGTGTGGCTTTTTCCAAAGTTCAAAACCTTGTGTGCAAAAAATGGTAGATTTTTAATCCTTGTTGTTTAGATCAAGAGGAAGCCTTATTACTGGGATTTCACTCTATTCTTTGGCAGTGTTCGAAAACTCGGGCTAGGAGGCTGCCTAGGTGCTAGGCGCCGGTACGCCGCCGTTGATTTGGTCAAATCGGCCATAAAAATCAGCCGGGCGGGCTCGGCGGCTTCTAGTCGGGCCTAGGCGGGCTAGGCGGCTCTCGACGGTCTACGCGGCTCAGCGGGTTAGGCGGCAATGGCAGGATTAGGTGTCGTAGGCAGTCTAGGCGGCAGCATGTTGCTCTCGGCGGCTACAACTTACAGATTTGTTTTTTATTTTATTTTTTTCTCGTTTCTGTAACGAAACGACGTCGTTTTTGCCTTAAGGCACAACGACGTCGTTTTATTTAAATCCAAATAAAAAAAATAAATAAAAAAAAGAAAAATATAACAAAACATTAAAACCATTAAGGATGTCGGACAGAACAGAAGTCACAGAACCTAAAAAACTGAAGCTACCTTCAAACCTTCTCGCCATCTTGGAATCTCGACCCTACTCGACGCGCCGCCGAACTGAATCGCCGCCGACCTGACTCACCGCTGGTCAGCCAATTCCATCGACGTGGACTCTCGAGCCTCCGTCAGGTATTTTAAAATTTCTTTTTATATGGAATTATTGGACATTACTTGGTTCACTTGGTTGTAAATTGTAATTAGGTTTTGTTAATTTTAGGATTTCTTGAAACTTATTGGAATCTTTTATGTGAAGTTGATAAAATTTGGTGTTGATTGGTTAGCTATAATACCATTGTGGTTTGTAATGGTTAAACCATAAGGATGTAGACAATGTGTTCGATAAAATTCCAAAGAGATAACTTAGTAAAAGTTAAGTATGTAACATTCGAAAATTGAAAAACAAATAATATACATTCATGTATATTGTGTTTTTTTGCAACAATGTTGTTGATGTGTTATATTATTCATTATTTTTTTGTTAGGATATTTCAATGGCTAGTAGTTCGGCATCAAAAAGTACTCCGTGTGATTCCCGGACATCCACAGAGGCCGAGAATGAATCTTAAGTATTTAAAAGAAAGTCGAATGACATAGGTTGGAACTATGGTGTTCTAGCCGATCCATATAACAAAGATAGAGTGAAATGCTTGTTATGTAGTAAAGTTATGTCGGGTGGTATACGTAGATTGAAAGAGCATATTGGTCAAATTTCCGGGAATGTTGTTTCATGTAAAAAAGCAACAAAATAAGATCAAGCTAAATGTAGAAATTCCATCAATGAGTCCAAAGCCAAGAAGATGAAGACAAAAGAAGTTCAAGAAGAGTTGCTATCTTCGGTTAACATTAAAGGGTTGAATATTGAGTCCTCTCAACAATGCGAAAAAGCAAAAGAATCTCACTCTCTTGGCCCAATGGATAGATTTGCTACAACAATCAACCCGGAAGCATCATTGAACGTGGCAAAGACGATGCGGGAACAAAACATTAATGATGCTATTAGGAAAGAACGATCCAACTTGGTGAAAGATTATTTAGTCGATTGGGCTTATGAAGCGGGCATATCTTTCAATGCACTTGAGCTTGATAGCTTTCGGCTCTTTAGCGAAGCGCTCGGTCAATTTGGGCCGAGGTGGGCCTCCTAGTGTATATGAGATGAGAGAGCCATTGTTGAAGAAAGCGGTTGAGAGAACAAAACTCAAGGTGAAGCCTCATGAAGATGAATGGAAGAAGAGTGGTTGCTCGATTATGACGGATGCTTGGAGTGATAGAAAGAGAAGAAGCATCATGAATTTGTGTCTGAATTCTAAAATTGGAACGATATTTCTATCTTCCAAGGAATCTTCCGATATATCTCACACAAGTGAAATGATTTTTGAGTATGTGGATCAATGCATTGAGCAAGTTGGGCCCGAGAATGTCGTTCAAGTCGTGACAGATAATGCTTCAAATAATATGGGAGCGGCGAAGTTATTGCGCACAAAGAGGTCAACTATCTTTTGGACTTCATGTGCCGCACACACCATCAATATTATCTTGGAGGGCATTGCAAAACTACCCCGGTTCACCAAAACCATTGAACAAGCAAAGGCATTGACTATATTCATTTATGCACATCATAAGACCTTATCCATGATGAGGTCTTACACTAAAAGGGAGGGCATAGTAAGACCCGGAGTCACACGATTCGCCTCTTCATTTCTTAGCTTGCAAAGCTTGATGGAAAAAAAGGCACAATTAAGGGCAATGTTCACTAGCTCCGAGTGTGATGAGTGCAAGGGGAAAGAAAGTTACAACACCGTGATGTCTATTAATTTTTGGAATGGCGTGACTTCTTTCTTGACTATTTTTGCTCCTTTGGTGAAGGTGCTTCGCATAGCGGATGCCGATAAGAAGTCGTCGATGAGATTTTTGTATGGGGAGCTTATGCATGCTAAAGAGGATATAAAAAGTGTCTTGAACAATCTTTCCAAGAACTATGATCCCATCTTAGAAATCATTGACACGAAGATGATGGACAGATTGGACACCCCGTTGCACTTGATGGCATATCTACTAAATCCTTATTATCATTATAAGGACTCGAATCTCATACTAGATCAAGTTGTTTCGGATGGAGTTCTTGATTGTCTTACTGTCATTTGTCATGGTAACTTTGATTTGATGGATAAAATCATGAACGTTGAGTTGCCCATTTATAAGACAAAGGGCGGAGTCTTTGGGAAGCCAATTGTCGCAAAAGGTTGTGAAGTAAACGACGAGAAGTTTGATTCGGGTAAATATATATATATATATAATTTGTCTTGTCTCTTATGTGATATGTCTTGAAAAAATATATTTGTTTTTAAATTTTTATTAGTCTTATGCTTGTTTTTTACCTTTTTTAAGTTTAAATGGCTACACAATGATTATGTTTTCACATTAATTTCTTTTTTTTTTTATTTTTGTTTTTTCTATTTTTCATGCATAGCTACTTGGTGGTTAAATTATGGATGTGGAATGCCTAATTTACAAAGAGTTTCCATAAGAATCTTGTCATTAACGACAAGCTCATCCGGATGTGAAAGAAATTGGAGTACATTCGAAGGGGTTAGTTGGATATACTATTTTTAATATACTATTTTTAATTGTTCTGTTAATTTTTTTTCATTGTTATTATTTTTATTGTCATACTTATATTATAAAGTGTGGTTTTATTTATTTCTTAGATACATAAAAAAAAAAAATCGACTTAATGTATCCCGCTTGAACAATCTAGTCTATGTCCAATTCAATTCCCGTTTATTGAACAACCGCAAATGGAGGAAAGAAAAGGATGTGTTACTTGCTAGTGAGGCAAGTAAAGCTCAAGAGTGGATTATTTCGGTATTAGAAGACGAGGACGATGAGGATGTCAATGGACATGAAGTTGAGGATGACACATCAAGAGTGAGTGAGCTTGAGGAAGAGGATTTTGAATCCGAGGAGGAGGAACAAGTTAATGAGAATGACATTGACTTTGAGTCGGATGAAGAGCGTGTATTGGAGAATTATGGAGAAGAAGAAGAAGATCCTCTTGTGCTTGACTATATTTCTTAGATATTGGCTATTGCTTCTTGTTTCTTAATAGTGTTTTGGACATTTGATCATGTTGGGTTGTTTTGAATCTTTGATACTTGGAGTATGTTTCATACTTGGAGTTTCTTTTGAGATTGTGGTTATGTAATATGTACTTACTACTTACTGATTATTACTTAGTAGTGTTTATGTATTTATTTGGACTTGGAATTTGTTTTGAGTTTGTTTTAGACTTAGAGTATGTTTTTACTTTTTAGATTGTGGTTAGTACATTATTGTCATGTGGGTTGCTAATGTGGATTGCTAATTTGTTATCATGTTTTCAATTTTCATTATAATATATTAATATTATTGTTTGTATTTAAGTGTGTGGACATTTGTTATAAATTGAAGTAGTTTCATACTTTATTTTTTAGGAAGTGAAAATACATAAACAAAATTAATATTTTTAATATTAATTTCTAGGCCCCGCCTAGGCCCCGCCTAGGTGCTAGGCGTTGGTCGGGCGCCTAGCGAGCGCCTAGCGACTTCTAGTACATTGTTCTTTGGAAAGCTTATCTGCTGGGTTGGAGGGATGTGGTGGTGAATATCGAAGATGAAGCAATTTTGCTGAAGTTGCAGGAAGCTAGACCATTTGAAGGGAGAAGGGAGGAGGTTGCTGAGGAAATTCAAATTCTAGCAGGCCCCATTTCTTCTTGTTATTTTGTATCTTATAGTGGTTTGATGTGTGATACTTGTCCTAATCTAGCTTTAGATGCTGTTTTGTCAAAATATAGCCATGATTGGCTGTGATGATTTGAGTAGCTATTAGATGATTATGGCTACTTGCTTGTTTGTGATCAGTGGATCACCGTATTTGTAAGACGTTTTTTCTCGTTGAGTGCAATATTATTTATCGTTTGGAAAAAAAAAAAAAAAAGACAAGAAAAACGCGTTTTAGTGGTAGTAGTTATTTCATTTTGACATTAACATAACTTTTGAGTTGTCTATGTAAAGATTCATGCTCAAATGTCTTAGAAATTTTTTATCGGAGTGAAAAAAGCATAGTTGATCACTGATGAGACTTGGACCGGAATGTTCCTAATTGTCCTCCATTTTTTTTTTTGGTACAGGGACCTTCCGGATTCTGGATCCACAGGGGAACCGACTAATCCAGAATCGAGTCGGGTAGGACCACAAGGGCGGCAAAACTCTCCCTCAAGAGTTTTAATACTGCTGCATTCCAAGAGCTCGAACACGAGACCACTGGTTAAGCTGAAAGAGATCCAAGTCATCTCATCCAAGCGCTCTTGGGTTCTAATTGTCCTCCATTTACTGTTTTGCTCGATTCATTTGAAATTTTGATCTTCCTATTGGTTTCTTACTATTTACATCTTGACTTTTGACTTTAGTCATTACGAATCTTATAATATATATAAGAACATATATGCTATCAAAGTAATATAAATTAATGTAGAATTCTCTTGAGATTCATTTCAGCATGCAATTCTTTTTTTAGAAAATCAAATACGAAGTTTTTTTTATTATTGTTATTATGTTTGTGACAGTCAAAAAAGATACAGAAAATCACGTAGCACACGCAAACAAGAAAAAATAAAACACAACTAATACATAGAATTCGACCTTCCCCACCAGCCCGAAGCTTGGCCCATGACACGAATCTAAAAACTTCGTTCAGACGACGAATAAGTGCATCCAACCCAAAAGTCCAACACACCACACGACCCTAACTAACCCTAGGAGGTCGACGCCGAAAACCCTCCCCCACACAACCCAGCAGAGGCAGTCGATGTAGGAAGAAGCCCCGGACCTCCCAATTGGAGAACGTCAACCCTCCTACAAGTTAATGTCATAATTTTGTTGAAATATTTATGTGTACTACCTTATCAAATAAAGACATTTTGATTATTTTGAAAAGTTAATGTTCAAATTTTAATATCATTGAAATAATGTATCTTACTTAGGTAAATATCTACCTTCAAAAATTATGAATGTGAATTTTATACATATATGATTGAATTAAAATACATCAGAGATAGTCTTGGGTCAATCATCAATTTTGTAAGTTTTACTTAGTTAATTAATTATAAATTAATTGCATATTTGTATATTTGTATGATTAGGTTTGTAATTTCATTTATATTAAAACTCAAAATCAAATACTGTAGCAATTAACTTTATTACCCCACCATTTATTGATACTATGAGTGATCGATAATATTGGGTCAATAATCAGTTTTGTATTTTTGAACTAACTAATTAATTACAAAAATCCTATAATTGTCGTTTCTTTTGTTATCTGAAGCATTATAATTTCATAATATTTAAATTTTAAGTTTGATCCATATTTAGATTTATAAGTATTCAGCATTTGTAAATACTTATTACAAGGACAATTATAGTTGTTTGATAATAGTTTAGTCACTAATGATTTGATCTGAATTAAGAACATTGAGCTATTTTAATTACAATTGTAACTTTTTTTTTTAAAAAAAAAAATGCTAACCTCACAATTTTACGAGTATATTTCTCTCTATATTATTCTATTTGTTATAAATTATATTAATAGAGCAAATTCAAATAATATTCTCGTTGTTGTAAATATTAAGTTGTGGACATTACCTAGATATAAGATTTGTAGGCATGAGCCAGGAGCCCATTAGGTATTTACTCATATATATAGGGCTCAAGTGGATGAATAAGATGATGGTTTTTACGGCGTATCTCTTCTCTCTTATTCTCTTCTTCTTCTACTGTTTCTATCTTTGTCTATTTTACACATAGATTTTACATATTGTCAATCTATATTACAACACGTTATCAGCACGAGTACTCTACCATCTAAGTGAACGGCGGCGGCATCAAGACAAACGAGCAATCAAGGTAACAATCAAGAATTGATGTACGCTATAGAAAAGAATTTTTCTTTTCTGTCAAGGTAACATTCAAGATCTATTCAAAATAATGATCTATTAGTTTCATGTGGCTAAATTTTAGTGAATTATTCTTCCGTGGATTTGATTTTTTTTTTTCGATTCATGTGACTAAATTTTGGTGAAATTATTTACTCATGGATTTGATTGATCCTCTTATGTTATTGCCTGTAATATTTAATCGTGGTCGGTTGTTGATATTGATTTATCATTACTCTTTTGGTTAATTTCGTATTATATAAATCAGTCAGAAAAAAAAAAACAAATTAATTCATTCAATCTTTGTATGTGCCATTCTTATGCTCTGAGATAACCATTATATTGCTTGAAGCAATTAATTGGAATCATTGGGGCCACAGTAATTCAATTCTCTTGACATGTTGCTGAATCAATTACATGAAATCATGTGGGCCCCATTAATTATTTTCTGAGTTTCTCGTTTTTGCAACAAAATCTTCGTTAATATTTGTTGGAATTTTGCTTTCGAAATCCCCAAGTTTATTGTGCTTGCGAGTTGCGAGGCGGACTGAGTAAATAGCTTAAACCTGGGCCTTTGAAGTTATATCTTTTTGTGTATTGATATGTATATGGGATTTTGCTTTCGAAATCAACAAGTTCAGTGTACTTGCACGGTGGGCCGAATAGATGAGCTTAAAGCTGGTCCTTTAAGTTTAAATTTTTTGTGCGTTTGTATGTATATGGCTCTACGGCATGTTATGCTTTCAGTACTGGATCCGAATTGTCATAATGTGGTTATTGTTTATTTAACAAGTCTAGCTCTCTTGTAATTTATTATTTGGTACTAATTAAGAGCATATATGAGTTTATTAAGAAATTCAATTCAAGGCACCTTATTTTGAATGTCTTATAGGTATAGCACCTTTGTTGGGATTATTTGGAGTGACCATACTCATGAATTTGTTCTGTCAAATATTTGTGATATAGATTCCAAAATTTGTTATAAATTGATTCTAAATCTTGTATGTGTATAACAATATGAAAGATGACAGATTATGTTATTTTAGTTATCTATTGAGCATATATAAACTTTAAAATTTTATACATGATCTTGGATGAGATGCATATATGTATGTGAAACTTGGTCATTATTGAACTATTATATGCTCATTTAAAAATTTTGCTCTAAATGATGGATTATATAATCTACGAGATTATAGTTTCACTTACATGATTTGAAAATTTTGAAAAGTATTTGTGTCTAATATTTTTAGTGCTACAAAAATTCATGTGATCTTATAAGTATGTCTATTTTGTATGAGAGAAAGATTATATATAAAAAGTGGTGGAAATATTGGATATAAATTATTTATGTTGTATAGCTCAATTTATGATCATCTTTGTAATATGGTTGGATTAGAAGATAGAATTGTGCAATTATGAAATAGTGCAGTATTATCTATCCAAATTTATAAGGTTCAATTGAATACTAGTAGTCCCAGAAGGACACTAATATTAAATATTGATGGATAGAATAATTAGAACAATGTTTTACATGTCGATAGCTTGTAAGTCGACAACGAATTTCTTATACACTCCCTGAAGGATCTTTTACAAGTTAACGATAATGTTTTTATATACTCCCCGATGGATCATCATCGACGTAAGTATCTCCCATAAATTCAAAATAAAGTTTTGGTATACTCCCTGCAGGATCAACACCAATACAAGTATCAAAATAAAATAATGACTACACTGTGAGTAAGTCTTGATGACTAATTTTGAATTAAGATGATATTGAATATTTTATGATCTGTTATGAACAGTTTGCATTCCTGAAGTAATACATGAGAATAATGAAATCCAACCAAATCAATATTCATGGACACAATATATTACAAATAGTGATATAACAGTAGTTTATTGAGATTGTATTAATGCC